TTACGGACGCGTTCAGCCCGCTCTCGCCCACGCCGGATCGATGCGGCCGGTGCGGCCCAGCGCGGACGCTGTCGAATCGCTGGAAGCCGCTTCGAAGTCCGGGTAAAGTCATGCTTTTCGTCTCCGCGTCGACGTGAAAACCAAACTCCTGCTGCGTGCCCAGCGCCGCTTTGACCACCAGCAGCTCCGCGATTCCGTTTTCAAACACGTGGGCGTAGCGCCCGCCAATTTGGTAGTCAGGCCGCTCGCTCAGGTACACCTACGATCATCGCTCAGGCAGAGTACTCAAGCGGGGCGCCGCCACCGACGCCGCGTCCGTAGAACCCGCCGCCCTGGCTGTGGCGAGGGTCCAGGCCGTTCGGATCGTCCAGGACGGCGGAAGCGCGCGTCCGGCCCGTGCCATGAAATAGTAGCATTTCGTTCGCGTCTCCTTCATTGCGGCGCTTGATATCGTGGCGGCAGTCGCGATAGTTCTTCCACTGCAGGCGATTCATCACGCGCCAAACGCGCGCGAGCCGCGCCGAAGGGCATGTCTGGCGGAGCCTCGTCGCGATCATGCCGATCTCAGCAGACTCGAGCGAGAGTTGGGCATATTCTGTCGTCTCCCACCACGCGGCGTCGCCGTCGTGATGCTGCGGACCCCATTCCTCCGGGAAGAGCACCGAGGGTCTGCTGGATCTGGACATCGCGTCGGCCGGCCCAGCTCGACTCGCAGCTCTTTTACCTCACGAAGCGCGCTTCGCACACAAAGTTTCCCTAGCTGCACCATCACAGCATGCCGAACTCATCGAGCGGCCCGTCGACGCCCGGCACGGCCAAGGCCGACGCGCTCCTCGCCGAGGCCGCGTCGGCGACGGCCGACGAGGTCACGGAGCTGCCCGACTTCGACAAGGCGCCGCCGACGGCGGAGCCGCCGAACATCAACGACGACCCCTGCATGCGGACGCTGTCGCGGGCCGAGAGGCGAGCGGAGGAGGCGAAGCTCCGGGAGATGATGCAGGCCGCGAAGGAGGGCCGCGACGGGGGCACGCGGCTCGAGTCCATCGACGTCGACGCGGCGGCGTCGCCGTGACCGCGCGCGCGCGGCTCCAGAATGTAACCCCGGATGTGCCCGCCGCGCGCCGTCGGTCGTTCGTCGGGGCGAGCCCGCATTATACGACGGGGCGGGGGCGGGGGGACGTGGGTGTGCTTGTATCTTGTGCTTGGTGGGGCGCCGCCCTCACGCCGCGGGGACCGCGGCGTTCGTCGCGTCGCGGAGCGGCGAGGGCGCCGCGGGCGCCCGGGCCTGGGCGAGCGTCGCGGCGAAGGCGTCGGGGCTGATGGTGATGGTCTTGGTGACGTTGTGCGTCTTGTAGACGCCCGTGAGGCGGTCCGCGAGCTCGAACATGTTGTTCCGGAGCGAGATGATGACGAACTGCGCGGACCGGCAGCGGTCCTTGATGTAGTTGGCGATGATGGACACGTTCTTGTAGTCGAGGGCCGCGTCGATCTCGTCCATGACGTAGAGGGGCGTGGGCTTGTAGTGGTGGAGCGCGAAGACGAGCGCGAGGCTCGAGAGCGTCTTCTCGCCGCCCGAGAGGTTCGCGATGTTCTTCCAGGACTTCTTCGGCGGGCGCACGGAGAAGACGATGCCCTCGGAGAAGGGGTCGAGGGAGTCGACGAGCTCGAGCTCCGCGTCGCCGCCGAGCGTGATCATCTGGTACATCTCCTTGAGCTTGAGCGTGATCGCGCCGAAGCCCGCCA